GGCTTTTTTTTTTGCTTATGTGGTACTGAGGAATCGAACCCAGGTCTCATGCATACAAGGCAAGCGCTCTACCACTAAGCCACCTTCCCAGCCCAGAAAATAATTTTTAAGATCTCAGAATCTTAAGCAAGCCAACCATCAACCCAGTTGTAATCTAGAATCCAGTACTTCTTTTCTATATTGGAGACACCAGATAGCTATGGAGGTGGGGATCAAGCAGGGACATTGAAATAAAGATTTTTTTTGGGGTCTGGTTGTGGGGCCTGAACTCTGGGCCTGAGCGCTGTCCCTCAGCTCTTCAGCTCAAGGCTAGCACTCTACCACTTGAGCCACAGCGCCCCTTCTGGCTTTTTTCTTTTTGCTTATGTGGTGCTGAGGAATCCAACTCAGGGCCTCATGCATGCAAGGCAAGCGCTCTACCACTGAGCCACCTTCCCAGCCCTGAAATAAAGATTCTTTGAAAGTAGGTTTAAGAAGTATTAGGCTCCTTCCTTCACTCTGGGAAGCATAGGCTTAGGTTCTACAGCCATACAAATGCAGGCTACTTTTTCTTTATTTTGAGATACCAGGGATTGAACCCAAGACTTCACACATGCTACACAATCACTGAGCTACACAGTCTGCAGTCAGGCTTCCATGCTCTAGACCGGAGGATAGAAGTCTTCACTTCCAGTCAGAATGTTTTCCCCAACTAAGTAGCCTGTCCAAAACAATTACAGTGATACTGACTATCCATAAGCTCCTCCACACCCAGTCTCCTACTCTTACACATGACCAGACAAATAAAAATTATCAAACAAAGGGAAGAAGACACAGCAAAACAGCTAATTAAAGGGAAAAATTGCAGAGAGAAGAAAAATTCAGACACCTATCATTAATAGCATGAGAGGAAAAAGAAAACAAGCTAATGTAATTACAAAATAAGGCACAAGAAATAATAAAGGATCTTCAAAGGAAAAAGTTATAAGTTAAACATGACAGAAGAAACAACAAAAATGCATGCGAAATCTGGCAGATACAGCTGAAGGCAGGAGAGAAAATGAACACGATGAAATACAAGGCAGATGATAAGTCACTCAGAGACAATAAAAGACATTCAAACAGCAAGAATGAAAAAACAGAGGGAGGAAACTCATCCATCAAGCAAATTAAAGACTGCTTCCAGAATTGAAGAATACGAACTTCTAGCTTGAAAAGATCCACTAAGTACCCACATGGGTAGTGAAAAACAAGAATAAACCTTTGCAGATGATTCACAATACTGGTCATAAAAGGAAGATGCAGTTGGCCCTCCATACCCATGGATTTCACCAGCCTTTGGTCAAAAACAGAGGTTGGGCTCATGCCTGTAATCAACAAGCTGGAAATCAACTTGCACTACATAGTGAGACCCTGTTTTCTATACTTCCCTCCAAGAAATCCAACCTATGCTTGTACTTAATCTGTACAGACTTTTTGGTCATTATTCCCTTAACCACTCAGTATATCTATGTAGAATTTACATTGTATTAAGCATATGAGTAATCATGACTATATAGGAGGATATATATAAGTATATAGGTTATATGCCATTTTATGTAAAGGATTTGAATATCAGTTGTACCCACAGAGGGTCTTGTGAGTAATCCTCAATTGATACCATGGGACAAATATAATTCAGACTTCTAGAGATAATAAAAACCATATACAAAAATCAGTAGCAACACTAGAAGCTAGTGGAAGAACACTTTTAGATGTTTGGAGAAATATTATTTCCAACATATAATTTAATACCTAAAAAAACCTATCAATTAAGTATGAGGGTAAAAAACAAACACTTTTTCAGACATGTAAAGCCTCAAAGACTACATCTCATGCTTCTTTCTTGAGGAAGAAACCAGAGTATGTGTTCCATTAAATAAAGTAGAAAACCAGAAAGAAAAACTACAGAATATACCAGACATAAGGCCCAATCAAGGTAAAGAGAATTCTCAAGATAGTAACAGTGAAGGGAGATCTCAGAAGACAGCTAAGATTAGCTAGTTCATACTAGGCAAGTCAAAGGCGCTAGGAGAGATTTCAGGAAAATAAAACTGTAAAACACGTAATTCACCAGAACATTGTGAGTGGAAATTTAGAACAGGCAGGATTATGCATAAATAAGCAGAAAACTAAGCAAGAAATCAAAGCCAAGAGGGGTTATAACTCCAGGAAAACCAAAAATTTACATAGGAAAAGTAATCACAGCTTCCCGCAGGGCTCAGATATGACTATATTTCATCTTACAAGTATAAACTTGGGTTCCTGATTTAAAAATTACCATTGAAGAACTGGAATTAGGAAGTGTGTATGACTATCTAGAACCAAGATTTTAAAAAAGCAGAAAACAGTTTTGCCGGGCTAGGAATATTGCTCCCTGGTAGAGAATTTGCATAAGTGTATGCAAGATCCTGAATTTCATCCTCATCACTGAAGAAAAACAAACCAAAATTGTCAGATTGGTTCTACTAAAAACAGGAATCAATGGCAGTGGTTCCAGTATCAAGTGCATCTTTCAGGCCAATTCAAGATTGTCAGTGTATGGATTAATCCACTCTGGCACAGACACCAGAAGTCTGGCAAGGCTTGTTGTGATACTCATAACATTCCCAAGTTTGAGCATCAACCTTAAGAGTTCCAGAAGAACTGTTTGGGCTAACAACATTTTGGCCTTTTTCCACCCTTTCTGAAAGCTGAACATGATTTGAATGTCTATCAGGCCCCAAATTCTTATTACTTTTGACTGAAAGGAGAGAACAAAAGTTGGCTTACTTTTCTGGCTTTCCAAAACAATCTCAAGGAGGTTGAGGATTTTAGCTCATTAGAAAAGCAATGCCTTGAGTTCTGTCCTCAGCTTGGGGGGGGGAGGGGGTGGCATGCAGGAGGACTCAAAGGGTTGGAGGTATGGTTCAGTTGGTAGAATACTAGTCAGTGAGCCAAAGAATTAGGAATTGAGTTCAAGTCCCAGTCTTGGACACGCACACATTTAAAAAAAGGAAAAAGCCCCAAAAGAATTCAAACTTGCACAGAGTGCATAAAAAGGAATATACCATAGCAATTTGGAGTTCTAATCTGACATCTTGACATTGGAAGAGTAGTTGTAATTGCCTTTTTTCTCAACAGAGCTGAAGGCTGTACTAAAGGCATTACATTTGCCAGAAGTACTCTTCCACTGAGCTAAATTCCCAACCCTGGAAGAATAGTTCTAATTAGTAAGTGTAGGCTGAATTCATGGCCTGGGGGCGCTGTCCCTGAGTTTTTTTTTTTTTTTTTT